CCCCGGGGGCAGCTCACAGCGTCTCCCACCCCCAGATCCGCCCGGGCTCCGAGGTCGCCGGGGTTGCGCTGCCCCCCATCTGCACGCTGCGGCCGAGCGCATTCCTGCCCCCTCCGCGGGGACCTCAGCGGGTGCAGTCCTCGGGCGGATGCGCCAAGGGCTCGGTGCGCGTCTTCCCATCGGCAGGTTGATGGTGGGGCTGCTCTGGAAAGGCTCACGGACGCTGCCCCTTCGCCCTTCTGCTGTATTGGGATTTGGGATCGTACCGCCCTTTGAACTGGGGATGGAGTTGAGGTTTGGGACGAGCCCAGAGTCCAGGCACTCAGTGTATTTCGAGGTCTCCGCCCCGACTCTGCCTCAATTCAGTGCGTGGAAGCCTCCTTGCTACCTGCCAGGCAGGGCAGCAGGAAAGAGGCCGAGAATCTGCACCGGCCACCTGGGACCGGCAGCCTCCCCTTCTGTGCGCAGGAAGCGGAATTGCTCCTCATTTTCGGATTGGAGGTGGGCGATGGTGGGGGCACAGATCTTAAGACGCAGATGAAAAGGGTTATTGCAACAATAATAGTATTAAATATTTCAAGGGTCCTATAAGCCAAACCCGTTTTAGCTTTAGCCACTTGTGGTGTTGGAGCCTCTTCCTGTGTGTTGCTGGACCAGGGTCACTCCATCAGTTCCTCACAGCCCATCTCACATAATCTTGTAACTTACCTCTGCTGCAGAAACGGTTTTCCATAAATTATAAGCGATACATATAGAAAACGGCTCATTCTAAGAAGGCGAAGAAGTCTTTAGCTTCCTTCAGTTCAGCTATTTATATTAAAATTGGTGTTATCAAAAACAAATTTCATATTTGAAGCGTTTGTATCTTTTCAACACAACTGAGGAAGAGAAAGGAGGTGAGCGCTAAATTGTGTGAAGCCATTCCTAGAGGTAACTCTATGACGTCATAAGCACTATAAACGCAGACCAACCGCCGCGATTTTCCCCTTCAATTTTCTCGGAGCAAAACCAGTCTATTTTTTCATTTGCCACTGGATATGGGAAACTGTTTGCTATTCTTTGCTATCCTGTCTGGGTTCCTCAATACAAGTTACCTGGAGGATCACATCACTGATGCTTTCTCAGTACTTAGATGTAGTGTTAGAAGGGCCAACAGTCATAACTTAAGACAAGATGTATGTCCAAACAGATGTAACCCAGCACAACAGGCCAGGGCAGGAGCAAGGTCTGGGTCTGTGTTGTATAAAGCGTTTAGGAAAGTGTGTGTGTGAAGTATCCTTGTATACTTTTCAAATAGCTGATCTATAGCTGTCAAATAGCTGTCATTTGATACACTATTCTAAATCCTCCATGATCTAGTCTAGGGGGGAGCAGGAGAAACATTGCCATTTCCAATTCTGATAGGACCTCCAACCTTCTAAATTGTCCATCACCATCAGCCTGGCCTCTCACCCAATTATATCTGAATTAGGAAGCTGGCACGTTTGAAAAATAATCAGATTTTAGCTTTGAAAAGTAAATAACCCCCACCAAATCTATATGCTTGTTTCTTGAATATGTAAAGACACATTTGTAATGTATTTTATTGGCTTTTAGAAAAAGTATTATTTCCATTTCGTCCTCCTCTGTCTCTGCTACTTAAATGCACTTATTGTCCATTTCATCTTACATCAGAAACTGTATTTGGTTAACAAAAAGAAAAATAACTGCTCCTACCAGTTTCTAGAGCAGGTGTGATTTAAGTCCTGTGTTTTAATCATGAAGGTAACTACTGACCTATTCTCATAGTTTTACTTGGTCCCTGTCAAGTGAGATGTCCACTTTTGGTTTTGTTTTAGAAAAATATAAACAAGGGTATTTTTCCTTTGTTTTGAAACTTTAATGTTGGATACAGTCAAGAATATTTACTTTCAGAAAATATTGCCTTGTGATGTGAATGGATCCATAATAGGGTGTGAAAGATAGCCTTTCCCATTAATTTATCCAGATGCTGTACAGAGAGAACAACTTGGCTGCAAATGAAATCGACAGTGTTTACTGCTGCATCGTAGTGGTTACAGCCACTTAAAGGGTAGTGCCTTTTAGTGGCTAGTTCAAGTTAATTGACCTCTTGGGAGTTCCTGGGTGCTCTTCTCACTTCCCTATCACTTCTACATGTAGCCATGCTCAGGCTAGTCAGGATCTACACTTGCATTTACCCATTTGCAAAGGAAGCTTTTTATGATTATGAAACAGAAAAGACTGAGGACTAGAAGGTTGAATAGGGAGCCAGGAGTTTAACTGGAGAGCAGCCATGTGTTAGTAGACACATTGTTTTTTATTCCTCAGTACTATCCATGGAGAAAAATAGGTTTCCCTTTCCTCTGTGTACTTGCAGGATATGCTGTAATTTATAACAATAAAATGCTAAGAATTTTAGATACTATGAACATATGGATTGAAAGTGATTCCAGAGAGTACTGGAAAATCTTGATTGTTGTTTACAGTGGGAGTCTTATATTTCCTGATAAATCAATATGGACTGTGAAAGCTGAATCCTGATATCTGGCTATTTTCCCCCTTTCTTTATATACAGTGTTAATGTACCGAGGTGAGGCTCTAGAAGATTTCACTGGCCCAGATTGTCGTTTTGTGAATTTTAAAAAAGGTGATCCTGTGTATGTCTACTATAAACTGGCAGGGAGATCACCTGAAGTTTGGGCAGGAAGTGTAAGTACAATTTTGACATACTTTATTTGCTTACTGTTTACTGGCCTGTTAAGTTCTCTAGGCTTAAATGACTGTTTCTTGGGGTCTTTGATGGGGGTAACCTGTCCTCTCTGCTAGACTATGAAAAAATGATTGTCTCTTGTCTATGCCTTAGGTCTGCACAGAGTAGGGGCTCAGCAGAGGTTTCTGAAGGATGCTCCATACATGTATAAAGTTGAAATGGTCAAAATCTGAAAATTCTTGACTCCATTGCTTTAAAAAGGAAGAATTCAGCCGAGCTCGGTGGCTCAGCCTGTAATCCTGCGCTTTGGGAGGCTGAGGTGTTCGAGACCCGTGGGTTCGAGACCCACCTGGGGAACTTGGCGAGACCTCATCTCTACAATAAAAGTCAAAAAATTGATTTATTGTAGATGCGTGGTAGCGCATACCTATAATTCCGGCTACTTGGAAGGCTGAGGTGGAAGGATTGCTGGAGCCCAGCAGGTCGAGGCTGCGGTGGCCGGGAGTGGCCACTGCACTCCAATCTGGGCGACAGAGGGAGACTCCAACTCAAAAAACAAACAAACAAACAAATAAATAAATAAAAAGGAAGAATTCATGGATATTAGACTTAATCCTGTAAACTGTGTACAAGATATGCAAGTTTGAAGTTGATTTTTTTTGGTATATTTCTCTTTTAAAAATATTATTCTTTGTGAAAAAGTGGCATTCTTGGGAACTATTACCTCATCATCTGTTAAAAAAGCAAAATGGGCCAGGCACAGTGGCTCATGCCTATAATTCTCATACTTTGGGAGGCTGAGGCCAGAGGATTGCCTGGGTTCAGGAGTTCAAGACCAGCCTAGGCAACATAGTAAGACCTTGTCCCTACAAAAATAAAAATTAAAAAAAACTAGCTGAGTGTGGTGGCACATGCCTGTAGTCCCAGCTACTCAGGAGGCTGAGGCAGGAGGATCACTTGAGCCCAGGAGTCAGAGGCTGCCTTGAGCTGTGATTGTGCCACTGCACTCCATCCAGCCTAGGCAACAGAGTGAGACCTGAATCAAAAAAAAGAAAAAGCAAATTGTTATATTTTCTGTGTACTTTCTTATTTTTGTTTGCAACTTTTGGGTCATCCTTTTGCTTTTTTCTGGAGGTTCCTTAGGGGCTCTAGTCCCAGCTGGTTTTGTAGGGACTGTGATACCAGACATGACAATCTATGACTGCATCATGTTTTGATGCTTTTAATTTTAAAAATGGAAAACACTAAGGGGCAACCTCTTTCAGGTCCTCTCCTGCTGTGGGAGCTTTTTCTGTCTTCTTAATAAATCCTACTTTCTAAAAAAAAAAGAAGAAGAAGAAGAAAGAAAAGAAAAGAAAGCACTAGGCATGCTCTGTTTGAGAAGTTTATCTTATGAGTCATTGTCCTTTATTTTTAAGAAACATGACATGTGGACTGTTTATTTACTTAAGGGTCTTGATGTCCTTATGACAGTCCCAACTTAGAGAAATAATACCCAGTCTCAACTGAGAAAGTTCTCACTCTCTTTACCAAATAAGCAAACAACAGAAAATAAGGCTTAAGAAATCCCCTTGGAAAAAAATAGGTTCATTCTGTTGGCATTCCAGGTTCCTAGGAAGGAATCTTAAACTCTAACTTGTCAGGTACAATCCTTACAGATAGGTGGAATCCTAATTGACTCATTCCATACCAAGAAGAATCTATTCTCCTTCTTTCAAATCTACATGAGATTTCTTGATCATCTTTATTCTCAGAAATGTTCTTCCAGGTGGTACCTTTGCCTGCATTTTTCATAGAGCAGCCAGTTCTTCTCCCTCTTCTTGCCTTTGAGCATTTGGTTAAATGAACCCGACCGCATTTTCTTCTGCCACAGTTTTGTGCTCATGACCATATTCAGCTCTAGATCACCTGCCAATCTTTCCGGGTTGGAGTTTTCATCCTGCCTTCTTAAGAGGAACACTGCCTTTGGCATCCAGCCAAAAGAGATCTTTGCTGTCTACTCATTGTTTAGGTGGCACCGTGTTTGCACTGCTCATGTGGCATTTATTTTACTGTTTTTTATTGCGGTTAGTTTGTGTGCTTATGATGAAGTCAGAAAGTCTTTGAGGAAAGGGCTCTGTTTTATCCATCTTCCTTCTGAGTATTTCCTTACAGGATAGTGGCACTTACTTATATTTGTCCATTTAGTAGCTTATGCAGAATTTGTTCTCTTGAGACAATACTGTGCTTCTCCCCCTCTCCCCAAATCAAATCAACAGTACCTTGGCAGGGATGACATATGTAAGCAAAATTAGGCATAAGCTGGGCTCGGTGGCTTAGCCTGTAATCCCGCGCCTTTGGGAGGCTGAGGTGAGGAAGGATCGCCGGAGCCCAACAGGTAGAGGCTGGGAGTGGCCACTGCACTCCAGTCTGGGTGACAGAGTGAGACTCCAACTCAAAAAAAAAAATTAGGCATAAACATTACTTCTAGTCATGTGGGCTTATGATTCTGCAACTTTTTTTTGTTAGATTGTAAGAAATGGGATATTACCCAGTGTATAAATATGGAATTTTTTATAACCTTTAGTCTCAATTGACAAAGATTAAGCAAAGATAAATGTACAGTGTTTCCTTTCTCCATATATCTCTGATTTCTTTCCCTTTTCCAGATTTCCCCTTAATAAAATTTTCCTCAGAAGAAGTGTATTTTTCCTTAGTTTCCCCTATCATTTCATGAAACTTATACTTAGAAAATTGAAAACACTCTCTCTTTAGTTTTCAAAATGATTCCCGTTTCTGTTTCTTAGTTTTCATTCTACAGTCTTTTTTGGTTTCTTAGAGTTTCAGACTTTATATGTCAATAGTGCAGTCTTAATTGCCCTGCTTTATCTAATCTTCATAGCAGTATTCTACTAATACTGAGATAGCTTTGTGATAGTTTTCAGATAAAGCAAGAGCATTCATGTATTGGAGATATTTTATGAATTAGTAATAAGATAGACTTTTTTTCTTTTGTGTATTTGATTTACATGTAAGTATCCTTTAATGACTGGGAATCTACTGCCCTCTTTCAGGCAGTAGCTAGCAAAAGATAGTGTGTTTCTCAAGAAGACACATTTTACATACTTTAGCTGTTAGTGCTGAAAATGAATGGAATATGTCTGTAGAGGTTTTAGTTTGCATGAAACTGAAACTTAATTTGTAGATTAGTATGTATTACATTGTAATTTTATTTTATCTCACAGTGCCTGTAAATGTAGTTTTTGAACAACACAGGTTTGAACTGCATGGGTCTACTTATGTGCAAATTTCTTTCAATAAATACATTGGAAAATTTGGGGATTATTTATGATAATTTGAAAAAACTCACAGATGCTGCATAGCCTAGAACTATTGACAAAGTTAAAAAAACGGTATGAATGCTAAAATATATGGAGACACTGGTCTATTTTATCATTTGCTACCATAAAATATACACAGATCTATTATAAAAAGCTAAATTTATCAAAACTTACACCAACACTTACAGACTATACATGGTGCCATTTGCAGTCAAGAGAAATGTAAACAAATGTGGAGATACAGTATGAAATTAACTGTAGTACCTACTGCATTATTGTAATAATTTCATAGCCACCTCCTGTTGCTATTTCTATGAGCTGTACTGTTGCAAGTATCCACTTAAAATGTCCTGTGATAGTAATCATCTCTGCATGAGCAGTTCATCTCTCCAATAAATTACACAGTGCAGTAAAAAGTGATCTCATGTATTTTTCATGTTTGGTGCAATACCATAAATGAATGACACCATGTGACCCATACAAAGTGCTACTGGTGATACTGGAAGCACTCCCAAGAAGCAGAGTCATGACATTACAAGAAAATGTTGAATTACTTTATATGTATTATAGATTGAGGTCTGCAGTTATGGCTACCTGCCATTTCAAGATAAATGAATCTAGCATAAGGACCATGGTTAAAAAAATAAATGAAAGGAAATTCATGAAGTTATTGCTGCAGCTGTGTCAAACAGGTGTGAAAAGCATGCACTTTTTGTAAAATTCATTTTTATTTAGTATTAAAAATGCAGCTTTTATGTGGGTGCAGGATTGGTATAAGAAAGGCATTTCTGTAGACTAATATTATTTGAGAAAATCAAAGTCTTTATATGAAAACTTAAAAGGAAGGAGAAGGATCTAAAGTTGGAGAATTTAATGCGAGCAAAAGATGGTTTGATAATATTAGAAAGAGATTTGACTTAAAAAAAATTTTTTTTTGAGACAACAGGAGAAGCAGCTTCTGTTAACCAAGAGGCAGCAGACGAGTTCCCAGATGCCATTAAGAAAATCATTGAGGAGAAAAGATAGCTGCTTGGATAGGTTTTTGTTTTGTTTTGTTTTTTTAGATTAGGAAATATAGTTTATTTAAAAGGTAAATTAGAGAGAGAGTGAGAAAGAAAGAGAAGATTTACCTCCCCATGGTAAGGAAGGGAGCCAAAGCCAGGAAACATGGTGACAGCCATAGCTCAAAGAGCACAGGGCCACACCAGAGTCTTATAAGGCAATGGCAGTGGTCTGGCAGTGGCAGCGATGGTCTGGCAATGACCTTAGATAGGTTTTTTTTTACATACAGATTTGCTCTATTCCGGGGGGAAAAGTGCTACATAGGACATTTATTAGTAAGGAAGAAAAGTGAGTATCAGGATTTACGGCAGGAAGAAATAAGCTAACTATATTATTTTGTGCAAATGCAGTCAGTTTATGATCAGGACTGCCCTTATTTATAAAGCTGCTAACTCCTGACTCTTGAAGTGAAAAGATAAACACCAGCTGCCAGTCTTTTGGTTGGACAACAAGAAGGCTTGAGTAGTGAGAACCCGCTTTCTGGATTGGTTCCATTGATGCTTTGTTTTTGAAGTCAGGAAGTGCCTTGCCTGTAAAAGACTGCCTTTTAAAGTTCTTTTGACATTAATATTAGGCAGTACCCCATGAGTTCAACACCAAGGGCACCAAAATATTCTACTTGCCTCAAATATAGCAGCTCTAATTTGGCTTTTAGATCAGGGGATCCCAAGGACCTTTAAGGCCAACTACACATGGTATTTTATGGGAAGGATTGTCAGTGCTATGAAAGAGAACCCCAACAGAGAGCACATCATGAACGTCTGGAAGGATTACACCATTGAAGATGGTATCTTTATTACTGAAAAAGCCATAAAAGCCATCAAACCCACAACAATACATTCCTGTTGAGGATACTGTGTTCAGATATTGTACTTCACAAGATTTACAACAGAGTCAATCATGGCAAAAAAGGTGGGGGTAAAAGGTTTCAAGATATGGGTCTTGGAGAAATTTAAGAGCTAATTCAAAAGCTAACACTACACTAGAGGAAATAACAGAAGATGACTTGGTGGAGATGAGTACTTCCAAACCAGTGCAGACTATGAGGAAGAAGTAGAAGAAGAGGTATCAGAAAACAGATTGACATTAGACAATCTAGTAGAAGAGTTTCAGTTATTCAAGACTGCTTTTACATTATTTATAACATGAACTCCCCCCCCCCCCCCACCATGGTATGGGCACTGAAAATAAAGCAAATGGTGAAAGAAGGATTGATACCATATAGAAACATTTTTAAAGAAATGAAAAAGCAAAGGTGTCAGACAGAAATTACATTGTGTTTCCATAAAGTTACCCCAAGTGTGCCACCTCTCCCTCCACTACCTCCACCTCTTTGGCCTCTGCTACCCCTCCTTTACCTCATCCTACTCAATGTGAAGATGATGAAGATGAAAACTTTTATGATGATCTACTTCCACTTAATAAATAGTAAATATGTTTATCTTCTTTATTATTTTCTTAATAACATTCTCTCCTCTCTAGTTTACTTTATTGTAAGAATAAAATAAGGCCAGACTCGGTGGCTCAGCCTGTAATCCCAGCACTTTGGGAGGCCGAGGTGAGTGGGTTGCCCGAGGCTGTGGATTCAAGACCAGCCTCGAAAACTTGGCGAGACCTCGTCTCTACAATAAATTAAAAATTAACTGGGCATGGTAGCACGCATCTGTAGTTCCAGCTACCTGGAAGGCTGAAGTGGAAGGATCGCTGGAGCCCAGCAGGTTGATGCTGGTGTGGTTGTGAGTGTGTCACTGCACTCCAGCCTGGGCAGCAGAGTGAGACTCCAACTCTAAAAAAGAGAAAAAGAATAAACTAGATATAACTTACAAAATATGCGTTGTTTGACTTTATATTATCTGTAAACCTTCTTTCTAGTCAACAGTAGGCTATTAAAAGATAAATTTCGGGGGAGTAAAAAACTATCTGTGGGTTTTTGACTGTGCCCCTAAGCTGTGTGTGTTGTTTAGTGGTCAACTGTATTTGCCTTTTGTTGTAGTGGTCTTACATTTAAGAAATGTTGTATTCTTTTTATTTTACATGACTGTTTATTGTTTAAGAAAGACTTATATGTACTGGTTTATGAGCAATGCTATGAAATGTGCAGGTATTCTTGCTAGAGGTTACTTGTAATTGTGTTTCTAACCAGCTTTGATTTGCATGGTTTTATTCATTGATATACAATAATATTTTCTTGTGCAGATCTTTTTATCTACTTCTGAACTCTAACTTTATGTGCCCTTTGTTTAGAATTAAGCTGAATAAAAGAAGAAAACTTCAATGGTTTTAGAAACGTTGGCTTAACAATATTCTGTACTTAATTTTTATTGGAGTAATAAGCCTCATGTAATTATAACAGCAATTATCTAGCTTTCTTGGTTAGTTATATCTTTCTACCTATATATTTGTATATTTCCTGTCACTACTAAGAAGTCTCTCATTTATATTTCTCATACATATTTCTCTCATATTTGCCTGTTTGCCTACTCTTTTATATAGGTTGGACGTATTTTTGGATATTTTCCAAAGGATTTAATCCAGGTAGTCCATAAATATACCAAAGAAGAGCTACAAGCTCCAACAGATGTAAGTTGTGGATTTCCTTTCTGTTCTTAGTTATAAATTGATTTATAAATGACTACCTCTAAAAAAAGAAAGAAACGTTTGAAAAGACTTTTAAAAAGAACTATCATAATCTGATAGTTATCTAATATATTGAAGCAGATGTTCTTATATAAGGCTGTATACTCTTATACAGGGCTTTCCTTTGCTCCTTTATATGTGAAAAGTTAAGAATTCAGTATCTTTGTATTTAGTTATTAAATGTAAGAGGTGAATAATTTCTTTTTACAAGTAAAAGGAGAAGGTACCTCTCATTAGATAGCTAGTAGACATTTGAAGTGTATAGAAATCAGGTTAAATTAATCAAACTCTAATTTTGTACTGGGCCAGAAATCCAAACTTAAAATGATTTTCTTATTGTTGACTCTTTAGTGATTCAAGGGATTGTAGCTATGTTATAGATTTAGAAAAGGGAACCTGAGAGTTTCAGGTGAGGTTCAGTCTCAAATCTGTAAGGCACTGACTGCACATTCTCTAAAGCATTTATCTATGGTGCACTGGTTTAAAATGGTTTTATAAATAAAAAGATTTTGTGTTCTGGAATTTGTATTCCAACTGATTATTTTCTGAAGTTTAAAAACTTATAGTAATTGATGCCTGCCTTCATTCAAAAATGTTTGGAGTAGCTCCTTGGAGTTGCTGTAGAGCATGCAGGCTTTTGGGCTAGGGCAGTTCTTAGATGAGATTGGTAGGATAAACGAAGTTGCAGAGCTGTTGCTATGCTTCAAATTTGTTAATAATCTCAGGGGCCATAAAGCCAGCCCCATTGATCACCACTCCTGATGAAGATACTGCTTAGGATGCAAGTGTGACACAGCAGTTCATTGGTCACAGAGATCTGACCTGTTTTGGACTCTGCTTCTCATCATACCTCCCACTTTACACTTTCCTCAATAGTAAGAAAATAGGGAAGAAAAAAGAAAGAAAGAAAAGCATGTGATAGAAAGAGGCAATTATTCATCCCTGCTACACTGGACGTCTCCCCAGAAGATTGTGAAAGTTTAGTTAGGAGAATAAAATTATCTTTGTTAGTTTTTAAATTTTCCCCTCACTTTATGGTTCCTTATATGTCAATTTGCTTACTAGTGGAAAAAAGGAAAAATATAGATTCACAGATGGTCCTGAAAGCAGATCTTAGTGAGTGCCTAGAATATGGATTTACTTACAGAATACCTTACAGAATCTTGTTTTTAAATTGTTTTTCTGAGAATAAAAAAGTGGAGAGCTCCTTGACATCATTCCTTGTCCCTTTACATTTTTACTTCCCATGCATCTGTATCTAAGTAAGCTCCTTCTTCAGCTGAATTATCATTCTCAATCCAAGGAAAATATGGACCAGAAAGTCTTGTAGACTGACAGCCAGGTGATTCTGTCTGTTTCTAGCTGGGTGAGCAGAGAAGTATGGTGTGGAGGGCATAATGGTAAAGAAACTAGAAGCTGATGGTCTTCTAGTTTCTTCTGGACAGATTATTATGAGTCGAATTCCAAGGACATCAAGCTTAGATATAGGGAGCTGGGGACCCAGTGAATGACATCTCACATTTCGCTACCTGTGCTCAAAACAAATTGAGAGGCCCAGGAGTTGGGCACATAGAGACCAAAATGTTACCATTATTTACTGATAAAGCTGTTTGGAAAATATGACTCATGTGCAGAAATTATTTCTAACATTGCAATCTAGAATAAGACAGACTTACCTAGCCACAGACAGAGCTACCGAACTGGGGACCTCCCCAAGGGAAACTGTCCCTATAAAATTGACAGTATAGAGGAACAGAATATGTTTTCTTTCTGGCAGGTCCCAAACAGGAAATAGGGATGAGGCTGAGCAGACTCACCAACCACATGAATCATTCTTCCCCTAGGGAAGAGAGAATGAAGGGAAGCCAGGAATATTACTCAGATGGGAAAGTGGGTTCCAGCCTTTTCTACTCCTACCACCCAAGAACAGTCAGCACCTAGGGTTGACGCAAAAGCCCCTCTAGAGCCAAATGTGAATTTGAGATTACTGTATCTCTATCATTAGCATGGATAAGATTTTGTTTTTATGACAATTGGTTAGTGACACACCAATGTTTTTCGTTCCCTTACAGGAGACAGATTTTGTTTGTTTTGATGGAGGAAGAGATGATTTTGATAATTATAATGTAGAAGAACTTTTAGGGTATTTGAAATTGTATGATTCTGCAACTGGAGATTCTGAGAAAGCTGTAGAAAAAACTTCTCAGCATGTGGAACAATCTCCTGAAGTATCTAAGGAACAAGAACCTGAACTTAAACCAGTAGAAGCTGACTCAGAGGAAAGTGCAAGTGTATTTTCAGAAAACCCCAAGGATCTCATGGAACCATTAATGACTCAGAAGAACCACCCCCATGCAAATAGTCAAGCAGATAATGCTCAGGGAGAGCAGTCTTCATTTGAATCTTTTGAAGAAATGTTGCAAGATAAACTAAAAGTGCCAGAGAGCGAAAACAACAAAACCAGCAATAGTTCTCAGGTCTTCAGTGAACAGGAGAAGATTGATGCTTATAAACTTTTGAAAAAAGAAATGACTCTAGATTTGAAAACCAAATTTGGCTCAACTGCTGATGCACTTGTATCTGATGATGAGACAACCAGACTTGTTACTTCATTAGAAGATGATTTTGATGAGGAATTGGATGCTGAGTATTATACAATTGAAAAGGAAGAAGAGGAGAGTCAGGAAGACTTTGATGAGCTGCCATTACTAACCTTCATAGGTGGAGAAGATATGAAACCTCCGGTGAAGTCTGGAGTTGACAAATATTCAACAGATAAAGAGCAGAATTCAAATAAAGAGGATAAGGTTGAGATAACTGTGTCTGCTGGTGTCAAAAATGACGATAAAAATATTCAAAAAACCTGGGGGGATACAATCTTCTCCATTGTCACAGGGGGTGAAGAAAACACAGGTATGATGGATTTAGACAGCACTAATTCAGAGGAAGAAAAGGAAGATGATGATGAGTTAGTCCCAGATGGCAAACAGGGGAAATCACCATCAACAACAGATTATACTGACCCTGAAAATGTAGATGATGGTCTTTTGATGGTAGAAGTCCCTAAAACAAATAATGATAGAGACCCAGAAATGGACACAGAACTTCACATTGAAGGAAACGGGAGGAAAGTTCAAGAACCCAAAACAGGCCTGGTTCAAGATGAGTTGGAATTAGAGGATGAGAAACAAGAAGAGATGACTGTGCACAGTTCTACTCAAAGCAATAACCCCAGCTATTTGCCAGCTGCCGAAACGGGTAAAGACGTATTAAAATCATCCATTGATAACAAAGAAAATGACTTAAAAGAAATAGCAGTTCATATCTCAGAAGGAATGCTCCATGAAGAGAAGCATGGAGAACAGATTTTGGAAGGTGGCTCAGAGAGTGACTCCACACATAAAGCAGCAGGGAATCAAATGAAAGAAGAAAAGATAAAACAGGAATCCTTGGGTATCATACCACTCATGGGAAATAATCAGCGTAATGTGTCCAACAGCAGCATGGAGGAAGGTGTCTTGGTAAGTGGACCAAAACCACACATGCTTTCAGTGGAGCATCAGCATGAAGAATTTAAAGAGGAGCTAGTTCTTGAAACTCAAACCCAACCTGGATTCCCTTCTCCAGATGAATTGCCAAGAAAATTGGAAGAAGAGGTTCCCAGCCTGGGAAGAAATCTTTCCTGGCAACAAGAAAGAGATGCATCTGTGTCTGTCAATAAGCAAATGAATGAGAAGCTAAAGCTCTCTGAGGAAGAGGTCAAAGAGGACTCCTTGGATGACAGGTTTGTTTACCACAGGGCAATGCAGGACACACAGGAAGTAGGAAAAACAGATCAAACTGATAGTTCAGAAGTACCAGGTTTCCATACCGAAAATCCAGAAGCAGAAGAGGATGATTATCCCCCTGAAGAGCTACTGGAGGATGAAAATGCTGTAAGTGCAAAACAGTCTAAAGGAAAAAACCCTGGGATTCAGGACAGGCCATTAAATGTTAATCTGAAGGTCCCTGAAATAGTTTTAGGGACCATTAATCCTGATCTAGAAACTGAAGGAAACAAACAAACTGTTATGATTTTGGATAGTGAAAAAAAAAGTGAAACCATAGCCAAAGGGATTGACAAAACAATCAGGGAACCAGATAATATGGTGGTGGGAAGAGAGGTGCGCTCTCAGGTAGATGGGCGCACACTGACACCATCCGAAGTAAGTGACTTTACTGACAAGACAAAAACTCAGACTGCAGAGTTAGGTGAAGTGTTCCAGAATAAAGATTCTGATTATCTGAAGAAAGATAACCCCGAGGAACATCTGAAGATCCCAGGGCTTGCAGAGGAGCCTGGGGAAGAAGGACTCTCAAAAGAGCACCTTGAGGACATAGAGAAATTCATGGGCACAGAAAGCCAGGGATCTGCTTCTGAAGAACTTGAAGACGACCTGTTCCACTGGATTCCACATACAACTGTAGAGCCAGAACATGGTGACAAGAGAAAGGAATTGCCTATTATAAGCAGCTTCTTTACAGAACAGCAGTCTTTGCAGCGGCTCCAGAAGTACTTTGATGTCCGTGTGCTGGAAACCTTGCTGCAAGAATTGTCATTAAAGCTGAAGTCAGTCCAGCAGGAGAGCCTGCCTTACAATGTGGAGGAAGTCCTAGATAAGGTCTTCCATGCTTCTGGGTCACAGATTCTGAACAAAGCAGAGGAAATGCTCAATACTCATGTGGCCAAGAACAGAGATCTGGGAATAAAGGAAGATAACATATTGGAAGAGGCTGCAGTGCTAAATGACATTCAAGATCTGATCTATTTTGTCATGTATAGGCATGCCACAGAAGGGGAGACGGCCACTCTGGTGATGGCACCTCCTCTAGAGGAAGGCTGGGGTGGACCAACAGAAGGTGAGGTATTTGCCTGGGGCCTTGTAGAGTTGGGCTGGAGCAGCAGGTTGTGGGGAGGGAATCACTGAAGTGCCTCATAACGTATCTGTAACGCTCTGTTCAGTTTCCAGTGTGCCTAAAAGGGAACGACAATTTAAGGAAAGCCCATGTGTTCCTTCCTGCCTTTTTTCTGTAGGATGGAGATTTCTTATTGTTTCCCATGAAACAGTTGAGGCTGGTTAGCATTAGGAGACTTTATAAAAACCTAAAGAGAAAGATATATAAACAAGAAAATGATACACAAAGTAGACTTGTTAACAAAGTACAGATTTCAAGTAAAATTATGAAAAGACTTTATTGAACACAGTTTTTAAATCATAACATAGATAACTGCTCTCTAACCAAGGACTGACTGACATAACTTTTAAATCAATGCCTTGCCTGAGTTCCTTCATTCTCCTTCAGTATTACTGCCTATTTAATCTCTTGTGGATGACATGTTTTTTCCTGCTTCTTGGGAGCAGTCACTTCCTCCAGTTAAGTTCTTCTGGGTCCTAGGGTTCTTGCATTCAGATTAATCAAGGATGCAGTGAGGATAAGGAGCCTTCTAACACAGCACTTGACACATAGCAGCCATTCAGTAAATATTTGTTAAATTGACCCCAAGCCAATTTCCTAACATAAGCTTTTTGATTCCTACTTTCATGTTTTAGTCTCTATACCCAGGCTTTCCAAACAAAAGAAAGGGAGGGTATTTGGTAGAGTACTAGGGAGACATATGGTGGAATACCAGGGGGGAACTTAAAGCCACATAAAACCACTCTGACTTTGTATCCCCAAAGTATTCATTTTTCCTGAGAGTTGGAGGGAGGGGAACATTTTTGCACTTAATCAAAGTTGATATATTTTGGATAAGAATGCAACATTCACATGAATTTTCAGGGTAAAATACTAGGCTGCAAAGAAACTCATCCTTATTATGGATCCCATTAGACTATGTCCTGAGCCTCATAGGGAAGGAGATGGGCTCATTCTCTGACTCTTAGAGGTACTTTGAAAGTATGTGCACTTGGCAAACTGCCTTGGCATGGAATTCCCTTCTCTGTACTAAACTGGTCAGAAAAGCATGCTTGTGTATGAGAAAGTTCATGTTACTTCTATGCAGAATGGACTTTTCACATTTCTGTTCATGACTGAAATTCCCTTTTGCACATTTATTTGTGTGGGCATAGGTTGGTTTACCAAGGGAAGTTAAGTTGTTGAAGTCTCTGCCATAAATATATTTATTTATGAAAAAGTTCTTGGTAAATCATATTATGTAGATTAGTCATCCTGTAAGTGGAATAAAAGATACTGGAACTCAGACCAGACACGGTGGCTTATACCTATAATCTCAGCATTTTGGGAGGTCGAGGTAGGAGTATCACTTGAGGCCAGGAATTTGAGACCAGCCTGGGTAACGTAGTGAGACCTCATCTCTACAGGAAAAAAAAAAAGCCAGCTATGGTGGTATGTGCCTGTAGTCCTAGCTACTCAGGAGGTTGAGGTGGAAGGATTGCCTGAGCTCAGGAGGTCGAAGCTGCTGAGAGCCATGATTGTGCCACTGCACTCCAGCCTGGGCGACAGAGACTCCAACTCAAAAAAAAAAGAAAAGAAAGAAAAGAAACTGGAACTTTTCTTTTTCTGCCTAGTTGTGCTCCACAGGTTGTACAACTCTGAGGTGCCTCATCTTCCTTGTGTGGGCTTAAAGGAGGGCAACACAAGGAAGCCCACACGTTTCTGAGGTCAAGGTACCCTAGAGCTGTGTGATGAGGGAATGTGGTCAGTGGACTTAGCCAAGCAGGTGATGCCATCAGGCTGTGTTTTTCCCTTCTATAGAGATGCAACCACCACACGGAGATAATTTCCCACAAGAGAACATGGAAGATCTTAATATACAGGTTCCTGAAGAGCCCATGAACTTGGACCAGGCTGCAACCAGGGACGTGGATGCCTCAGGAGTGTCACAGACACTGGATACTGAGAAAGACTTGAATCCAGGTAAAGCTTGCTAATTTCCCTCTACAAAGTGGAGACATCATAAAGAAAACCTTCTAGGAGATTTCTTGCCAAAGGTAGAAAATCAAGGGGAGAATAATGCAGTTATGTATACATTTTTTTAAAAAAGATCCCAGAGCAAATTGGGAGAAAAGCAGGAGTTAAGACAGATGGAGATAAAAATTTTTAAAAATAGGAAAGAGGCCAGAGATCGTGGCTATCACTAGCTTGTATAAATTATTTTAATCTAAAATATTATTATTAAAAGCCCCTATGCCCTAAAACAGTAGTTTCCAACCAGACCAACAGTATCAGGAACTCTAGGATTGGGACTAGCAATCTGCATTTAACCAGCCCTCCAAGGAAGACTAATCTGATGCAATTTAGAGTTGCAAAAGCACTGCTCTAAAACTCACGGATTTTGTTTTTCCCCTCCTTCACCCCCCTTCTCCCAAATAGAATACATTATAATACAGTTCTTTTAAAAAACATTTTCTACCTGGACATGGTAAAGAAAACTTAAAAATATGGTGAAGGGGTTCAGGTAGATTTACACTATAATCTTATAGGAGACAGGAGTATTTAACCTTGTCGTATGTAATAGTCCAGTATAGACTGACACTTATCAGGAGTACTTCAGCAGCACACAGTAAACATCCAGTGGCAGATGAGAAAGTTGTTTTAAAAAAAAGTTTTAAAAGCATTTAAAAAAAAAACAAATCCTGAAAATGTTATCAACAATTCTGTAATTTTTGGATAACTTACTCTCATTTTTAACAGTAAATTAGAATCAGAGTGTCTTATTTTGTCTATCCAATATGGCGACATGATTATGTCATTACTGTTTTGTTTTTAGAGGTTCTGGTCTAGAAACATAGGAATAGCAATACTGTGCCATACTACAGGACTTGGCAGCACTGGACGGACACCCCCTTTCCCAACACACACACACACACACACACACACACACACACACACAAAGTGCAGGAGAAGTCACAGGAAGAGGAACTTAGCTAATTTGAGGAGTGACATCTTATATGTCTCTCATGTTCCAGAAGACATTACATTCCTATGTAATACTCCCAACTTCTGAACTCTTAACTCAAAAAGGTTCTGTTTGTTGAAGATGAGTTTACATTATTAAGACTGGTTAGTATCTAGCTCAAAAACTTTCAAGATTAGGGAAAATCTAGGTTTCACCACAATATGACATTAACGACCTTTATGGATGAATCTTTGCAAATGTCTGTTCATGCATCTCGGCACTGAAGTACTGACATGGTTGGGAAAACCTCACCAGAGGTCAAATTCATAGACCAACAGGAATTGGAATCTTAGGGTTGAGAAAGACCTTAAAGGCAACTAACTAGTCCAGCTTCTCACTAATGGTGTGTTTGACTACTACCTGTTTACAAACCTGCCCCAGGCTCATAGAACTCATACGGAGATCCCCTCCCTACTCCTTCCTCATGTAATCCTTTTAGGTACGCCTGGAATTCTATCAAAGAGCCTTCGAACCAGTTTCCCACCCTGTAAGCATTTCCCTTTAGTCCCTCTTGGCAATTACCATATTCTCTTTTATGTAGCTCTTATTCATCCATTCAAAAAACAATTATTGAGCACCTGCCAGGTGCCAGATGCTATGCTAAGCATCGGCGTATTCCACCTGCATGTCTGCAACCTGAGACTCACTCTTTTTCACTCATTGTTTTTTGGGAAGTATCTAAGACAGTGCTTTACAGCACTAAATAAATATGTGTTGACTATGACTGTATGGAGAAAGCATAAGATTCTGCTTTTCTCAGTTCCCACAATTAAATATTGTTCTGGTGCAGGAGTCCAGCTCCTGCAAGGTTCAGAGGTTCCTGGAGGTGAGACGGAGTAGGCGACTAGGGAGAAGAAAGAAAGGGACTGGGGAGAAAGAAAGGGATTGGTCTACTGTTCAGGATGAGCAGAAGCCATTTATTGAAGGTTTACAGTGGGCTTTTATCCCCAAATTCTGCAAAGTCATTCTCACATGTCTTTCATGTGAACACAATGCCAGGACATGAGGGGCGTCCCCCACCCACCAGATGTTCCTTCAGGCATGAGGAAGAACAAACTCCAAATTGTCTTTCTGCTCCTCTTGCTTGGTTAATGTTCCTCAAAGGCAATGAAACAATACCTTCCTAAAGCACAATGTTTCTATAATCGATAAACTAAAAAACCCATTACAAGTGCTAACCTTAATCTATGACTAACCTATCCTATAAAACTTTTTCATTCTATGCTAATTTATACTAATACCAAGTTAAACAATCCTATTGAAACTTAATCACTCTTACAACCTGAGGCAGCCTAACCTAGGATGTATGGAGTGTGGCCCAGTCCAAAGTTTGGGGTGGGCCCAACCTGAAGTAGGCTGACCGCATTCTTTTAACAAAATGGTTACCTAAAAACTTATTTCTATAACCTATTTTCCAAAACTTATATTGCTATAATCTTGAGATCACATACAAAAAGCCTGTGGCCAACACTAAGGCTCCTCGATGTGACCTAAGTTTGAACTGTAAGTAGTATGAAAACCAAAACCACAGTCTGTGGAAAAATGGGAACACTGAGCTTCTGAAGTTAGTTTGTGTTCGTCCTGGTCTCAGAGTTATATGCTTAAGTTTGCAAGAGTTTTTTCTGGCTGTAGTGCTAGGCAGAAAAGGGAGAGAAAATGGGGTCAACAGCTCCCGAACGCATCCTAGTGGTCTCGGGGTCAATGGCCCTTCCTGATCCCTAATGCTCAGTGGCCCTCCGTGGCTGGCTCCCAACATTCAGTAGCAGGTGCATTGCCAGAGAGGTGATGGAGGGGATAGTGGAGAGTGGAGTGGACTGGAGACCTGCTCGTTTTATCATGGGAGAGTGTGGTAGCTCTAATTGGTATTCTGAGTTTTTTCTCTATGTAATTATCTTAGAGTTGCATATTCCAGACACAGTGTCTAATATTTAGTGAGTATTCAATACATATTTAAAATAAAATAAAGAGAAACAGTTCTTCTGAAGCACAAAATAAATAGTCTGTTTTTCCCCCCTCAATTCTAGGGCCAGTTACAACAGAAGGCACTCCCACTGATGCAAAAAAGCCACTAGAGACAAATGCTGAAGAGCCAGCAAGTGTTACACCTTTGCAAAATGCAATCATTTTCATATATTCAATCATGTTTTATTTAACTAAGATGGTAAGTTTGATACATACAGTTTCCTTACCTAGCATGTTGGTTATTACAGTTTTTAAGTTGATTTTGAGCACGAGATGAAGAAGAACTTAAAATGTCTTTATGAAAATGACACCTTATCCTTTGAAGAGAGCCCCTGAAATGAGCCACAGGTGTATAGTTTTAATGGGTTCTTAGTTCAGCACATGAAGAGGGTCTGCTGCATGCTGGGTTGAGCATAAGCACACCTATGAAATATGGTTGTTCTCCTCAGACTTTTCAGTCTAGCTGGAAGATAGAGACATTCACTTGAAATATAATATGATACAGTTGGGAAGAGAACTATTTACCTGATGGCAGAACAATATATGGCATAAATTGTTTCATTGTGGTGGGAAGGTGATAGGCAATGTCAGAAGTTAGCCGACACATGCTTTATGAAGTATCTAAGGACAGATGAAAGCTTGATGTGTAGTTTGTTGTTGAGTAGAAAGGCTTTGGGGAGAAAGACATGGGCTAGTGTGCAGTCAGGCAGAAATAACACATTCAGAGAAGTGAAGGCATGAAGGAAAGGTTATTTGGGGAAGCCAGGGAAGCCAGAGTAGTTGGTATTGATAAAGTGTGGAGTTAGGAGGAAATGGTCTGTTGGTAGAGGCAGGGGCAAGTCAGAAAGGAGGTTGTGTGCCTTTCTATATATCAATCTTGTATCATGCAACTTTGAGGAACTCATTTACTAGTTCATTTTTTTTTTTTTTTTTTGAGTTGGAGTCTCACTCTGTCGCTCAGGCTGGAGTGCAGTGGCACACTCACAGCCACTGCAGCCTTGACCTGCTGGGCTCAGTTGATCCTTCCACCTCGGCCTTCCAAATAGCTGGAACTACAGGCATGTGCCATCACGCCTGGCTATTTTTTCTTGCTTTATTATAGAGATGAGGTCTTGCCAAGTTGCCCAAGCTGATCTCGAACCCGTGAGCTCAGACAATCCTCTCACCTCGGCCTTCCAAAGTGCTGGGAATATAGGCATGAGCCACCATGCCCGGCTGGTAGTGTGCCTTTGTAATGAGTTATCAGACCACTGATGGCAGGGATCCTTGGAATCTTTTAAGCAGGAAGTGGATTGGTCAGATCTGTTTCTTAGAAAGAGTCACTTATGGCAGAATATTTATTCAGATTGATCTTTCTAAAGAGAGTCACGATCCAAATGAGACATTTAATCTGTCTAGATGCTTATTTAAGCTTTTTAGGACATAGCTCCCCCTTGTGGTATTGTTGAAATTGGACCTTTTGTTTCTTAATAAATCAAAGCTTTCAGAAGTTGAAGGCCAAGTTGCCATTAGGGCTATGGAGAAAATATCCTTCTCAACAAAATTAGTTTCCTCTGGGTTCTGTTATTTCAAGACTTGTGTTTGAAAGAGGGATTTTGTTTTTGTTGTTCTGTAAAATACATAGGTGTTGGCCAATCTTTCAAATTCCAAAGCCATCATTTAGAAGTGTGGGCAATTTACTAAACTTTGAACCTCAGCTTCCTCATCTGAAAAATGTAGACAATACCTATTTCGATTGTAAGAATTATATGATGTGATGATGTCAAGTGTCTGGTGCAGCACTTGGTATTTTGTAGACTCTTGTCCTCTGCCTAATTATCTTTAGATGGTCAGAGGGTGTACAAACACCTTGACTATCTGGTTAATTTAGGAGAAAGGCCACCAGAATTGGAAAGATGGGGGAAAAAACAGTTTTTCAGTTTTCTCCATAGTCATGGTGATGCCAGCCACCTGGATGAAGGCATTTAAGATCTGAACAGTTAGAATAGTGAAATTTTCATTGATTAAGGTAGTCTTGGAATCCATAATTTGATTATCAGAATGAATCATCATCACCTGAAAAATTTGACAGCTTTCAGATGTCGGACTTTATTCATTGTATTTCTAGATGTGCACAGAGCCCTCTTCTAGGTGTGGGTTGGGGGATATAGGTGCGGTGTAGGATATAATCTGTGACTGGGGAGTGATGGGGGAAGACAGACATGAATCACAAGATAAAAGGGTGCAGTGTTATAAGATGCTGACTTGAAAGAGATTGTCAAAAGAGCATTTTGATGGACCAATATGTACAGGACTTTGTATTAGGAATAAAAGATTCCAAGAGGTATAAAGCATAATTCTGATGTTTGAAAGCCTTAAGAAAAGGGCTTATCAAATATATGTGAAAATTGGAGAAAATGGAGAATATATGAAACAATTTATGTGAAGTGTCAAGTCATATAGAATACGTATTCGATAGGGCTGGGGAGTAATGGAGCATTGGTTTTATTGGGAAAACTGCACCAGAGTTCAGATTTATAGATCAATAATTGATCAATAGCTATAAGAATCTTATGCTTGGAAGAGATCTTAGAAGACTTCTAGTCTAATATCTTACTAATTGCAGTAATTTCCTCTACTCTAGCCCTGACACTTTGAGACCTGTGAATCAATAATTCCTAGTGTGAGCCACCTACTTTACAAGGCTACACATTCCTCTGTTGGCTAGTTCATTTTTATACTGATTCCAAATTTTTCTTCACGTGATTTTCTTTCTGGAATCCAATTCTCTTTTTACATAGTAATCCTTTAAACATTTGAAGTTATGTCTTCATTTTTTTTAGCATTTTATTCTGGAAAATTTTAAATATAGAAAAGCAGGGAACCCATGGGACCATTACTCAACAGTTTTTAATATCACCCTGTATTCTCCAATTTTCACATTTATCTGATAAGCCCCTTTTTAAAACCTTTCAAACATTAGAATTATGCTTTATAACTCTTAGAATCTTTTATTCCTAATACAGTGCCCTGTACATATTGGCACATAATATAAAATGTACTACCCTAACCATTTTTAAGTGTTCAGTTAAGTGGTATTAAATATATTCATAGTGTACAAACAGCATTCTTTTAAAAATTGCTCTTGTACAGATTGGGATCTTGTTGAGATCCAAATGTTGCAATATGTTGACATGTATCTTAAGTCAACTTTAGTTGGATATTAATTACATACCATAAGGAATACAACTCAGTGAGTTTTAACAAATGTATTTACCCATGTAAAAGCAACCATAATCAAGATATAGAATATTTTCTTCATTCAGAAAAGTCCCCTCATATACCTTTTCTCAGTGTAGCTCCCTCATCACCTGCTCCAGGCAACCACTGATAAAACTTTTTTTCACTATAGATTAGTCTTTCCTTTTGTCAAATTTCATATATATGACATTATAAATGGACTTATACCTGGGAGAAAAATTGTTGAGTCATATGGTATGTTTATATTTTATCTTACAAGAAGCTTCCAAACAGCTCCCAAAAATAAATGTACCATTTTATACTTCCACCAGCAATTAATGAGACTTTCACGTGGCCTTATCTTCTGTAATATGTGGTATTATCAGTTATTCTAGTAAGTATGTCTTTGTGGTTTTAGTTGTATTTCCTGATAATTAATGATATTGAGCACTCATGTGCTTATCGGCCATACGTTTTTGTGTGTCATTTCCCTCTGACTAGCTGGAATACGGATGTCTCCCAGCCCTGTGTCAACTCTGGGGATTGTTTAGCTTATGGTTGTTCTTTGCCTATCCTCAAGGAATCTTACCCTACACAGGTGCTGTTTAGAATTCAGCCTGAGGCTGAAGGAGACCTACTTGCAGATGTCTGAAGCTCCTGTTGTTTGTAGCGTCCAACTTTCTGATACCTTTCCTGCATATTCCCTGGTACCTTTCCTGTGATCTCTGCCTGTTCAGCAAGATAGGCATACTTAGCTTGCATGCCCCCTCCTTGCACTGAGGTCAAGAAAGTACCCCCAGGTAGAAAGCTGAGTGGTCCTAGGGCTCACTTACTTGTTTCCCTTCTCTCAGAGGTCACAGCTGTATGCTGCCTGTTGCTTTCTATATGAAAAACACAGTTTTTCATATACAATGTCCAGTTTTCTAGTTGCCTTCAATGCGAAGGCAAGTCTCATACCAGTTACTTGTCTGTAGATTTCTCTTTTTGTTATTGTTGTTGTAGCAATGCATTAATTGAAGAAGCAATTTTGTTTGGCTTCTAGGGCACATCATGGTCTGAATTTTGCTAAGTGCACTCCCCTGGCATATTTTAATGTGTTTCTATGGTTCTTTATATTTCCTTGGAATTGACAGTTGGATGCAGTAGTCAAATTCAAATTCAATTTTCCCTGCCAAAAATACTTAATAGGAGATGTGTACTTCCATCAGGAGGCATTTAAACATCTGGGTGTCCCTTTTTTTTAATGTTACTAGTCATTGGTGACATTGACTAGATCTGTCAATGTATTACAGGTTGCAAAATAGTGATAGTCTGATGATATTCATTTAAAGGCTGAGACACTTCTACAAAGAAACTTATAATCAACTCCTCTTTTCACTGAGATTTGGTTTGTATAGTTAAGGCAGGGTAAATATTTGATTCTTTCTTTTTATTTAAACAGTTTTCAAAATAATGAGTTTTCTTCCTGGCATTATCCAATGTTGCCTAAAGGATTTTTTTGTTTGTTTGTTTATTTGCTTCTTCTAATTCTCTTTTAGGAGTCATTATGATGTAATTGATTTTAAAATATTTGGTGTGTTTCAATCCAATCAAGAATAGTAATTATTCTTATTGACGATCAGTTTCTCTTATGGCTAGTGGGAGTCTCTTCAGCTTGTCTCCTGGACCCCTTTGACAATACCTAGTGGTAGTGGTCATTGCTGCCTTCCTTGCTTCCTTGATCTAGGCAACAGTATGTTCCAAGCTTACCTTGGATATTTCCTGCCCAGAGCCCTGGTTCCTTTTAATGGGAAATGGTATTTAGAGATTACATTCTGGGTACTAAGAGTGCTTATTGCTTTTGAGTTGGTCATCACTTCTAGGACTTTTCAGAGGATAAAGCTAGGAAATGTGTTTTGTTTTGTTTTGTTCCTTGAGTCAGGTTCTCACTCTGTTGCCCAGGATAGAGTGCAGTGGCATGATCATGGCATGATCATAGCT